ACCGCCTTCAGAGAATCTCTGCCATCACTCTCCATCTCCCACGCAAACCTCCACCAGAAAAATCAACATTGCCGCTCACTCTGAGAGACAACAGTGCCGACTAGACAAGAGACCGTTTATAGCACAAATGATATTATAAACATAGCATGTGGTGCATTATCTTTAGAAAGAGATTCATTGTAGGCTATGGGCTACATGCTGCGTCGAGGGGATGTCTATTATGTCTGTATAACATGAAATCCTCTTCAAAATGCATCACTTACTGTTTAAAAATACAGGTTTTAACTTACTGACTCAGCCCAGCAGGTACAGAGCTTTGCAGGGCTGGTTCATCTAATACCTGGCGTTAGCTCAAGCACCGGGCAAGCTGCACGAGAGCGAGCCCGAGCTTGAGCATAGTCCTGAGTGGCTGTCTGGCAAATGAACCCATGTGGGACACTGTGTAAGGTGTGAAGACCTCTTGGAGGAGGCTGCAGTCTGCGCCGGCTCGCAGGCATGCTCCGGTATCAGGAGAGACAAGGCAAACACAGCAGATCAGTGGTGAAACCGTAAACCCACTGACCCAGCATGAAGAGGGAGAGGGGACTAATTAGTGACTGTACTTACAACTCAAAAGGAGAGGCAGAGAGAGACGAGGAGAAAAGGAGGGAGTGGGGGGGGAAAGCACACACACACACACACAACACACACAAGAGCCCGCAGTTGGAGGATGAGGACAATGAGTTTGTTTAGCTTAAACAGGATTTACAAGCCAAACAGACACACGCCAACGCCACTCACTCAGACACATACTATCTCTTTTCTTCTCTATCGCTACCCCTTTCTCTCTCCGCCTCAACAACACAGAGCTGAGACAGACTTTGTGAGGATTTCATCAGCGGTACAAAAAAAAAAAAAAAGTGAGGGTAATTGCTTGCGATGGTGAGAAGTCTTGAGTGCAGGCAGCAGCGGTGGGCGAATGGATGGATGGATAGAGGGAACATTTTGTTCCTCCTGTGCGGGCTCCGACTCTCATATTGTTCCTGGTGAGGCCGGGTGTCATTTATGATTCAAGGGCCCCAGCCTCTCGACGGATAGGAACGAGACATGGCCATTGTGACGTCCCCTGCACTCGTTTCTCAAAGAACATCAAATCAAACATGTATGAGGCGGTGACAGGGGTGGGCCGGCAACTTCTCTCTTCACTTTCTCCCTCTCTCTGCACTCTGTTTCACTCCCTTGTCTCAGGGAGAGAAAAAAAGAGCACTTAGAGGACTGCGTATCCCTGATGTTGGGAGAGCTCAAGGTTGAAGTTACGGCTCTCCAGAAACATGAGTTAAGCTGATGTTTTGCCTGTATTATACCACTTAAACAGATATGTATCAACACAGCACATTGTAAAGTCAATGTAAAACTGCATTAAACTGGTTTAATATGTTTAACTTGACTGTGAGAGGAGGTTTTCTAAAATCTATATTTATCCAAGGAAGGGTTTCGCCGAGTGCAAACGTTCCTTGAGAGCACCGCCCTGTTTCACACACCTGTAAAGCAGCTCGGCACGGCTACACTTTTCTACAGTTGGTATCCAAACAATGCTGTTTGCTGCCACTTTTAAGGTTGAATGCCTTGCTCAAGGACTGAGCAGTGTTCACAATGCCTCGCCTGACTTTCTCAGCCACCTCAGGAGTTAAAACCAACAAGCCACGAGCCTGAACCACAGCAAGGTTTGCAGCTTGAAGGACAGTGGTGACAGGCATGTGGCATTGAAGGTTTTTTTGTTGGCCCACTTCTGGCTCTATCTGATGTCATTATAGTCAGTCAGCGGGGATAAGTTACATCTGCTCAGAGCTTCATTTTCTCTTTATTAGTTACACTGCAATTACCAGATCTCAACTTAAAGAGAGCTTAACTGCAGACTTATGGGTAGAATTACAACAAGGTTTAGGAAGTAGTTAAGTGTCTGACACGAGGGCACAACCTCAGCTCTAACGCAACAGCTCAGGTTGTAACTCCCTCCAAGCCCCCAATTCTGAAAATTAGTCTTTTAAAAAATGCTCCGAGGCAATACAAGTTTTTCCCTATTAAAAGACCAAAATAGGCACGTTGAAAACAAAGGCTCAGTCTAGATGAAAAGTACTGCCAAGTCGAACCACAAGTGAGACAGAAAGAGAGTGAGAGAGAGAGAGAGAGAGAGAGAGAAAGAGAGAGAGAGAGAGAGAGGGAGAGAGAGGGAGAGACGGAAACAAAGGCTGACTTCTGCTCGGGACATGAGTGGGTGGGTTTGGGCTGATGGCGAGACACCAGACTACTAAGAATCCATGTCAAGCGAACAGGCAGTGAGTATTTCGCAGCACTCCTCGAACCAAAACGAACAGTTAGATGAAATGTCAGGCTGTCAAAACATTGATTAGCGTTTGCCAGGTTTTAAGCACTTAGCAGGCTGCAGCTGTGCCGGCACACAGTAAACAGCCGCAAAGACGGTGCAACTTGGTAAATTGCTGAGTAACAAAAAGCTAATTACTCAGACACGAGTAATTAGTTGTTTTTCCTGTAGATACTTCTAATCAGTATTAGCTCAGTGCTTCACAGTAGTGCAAATATAAGGAGTAAGGTGCGCTCGGTACTGTGAAAAAACTCATCCTGGGAGTTTGGAGAATAGCTGCAGGTGCTGGAAACTGATACTTGATTTTACGATATAGCCTGATTTATTAAAATTGGTTCAATTAAACTGACACAAATAGCCATATTGGTTAATAGTGGGAGTAATCACTCCATTCTGTCTCCATGTTTGGTTTAGAGCACAAACATACTGTCACATATAAACATATCTTCTTCCTCATGTTTAGCTGCAACTTGTAGCGCTGCCAGTGGATGTGTTATCTTCCTGTGTCTGTTTACGATTTCGCCATTTTCCCGGCACATTTCCGGCATCATCTCCTGCACATTATGGCGCAAGTGGGCGGCCAGAGGATCCGCTCTCAGTGTGCATACTCGCATTTGCACCCAGCACTTTCTTAAACAGCCCAAATTTGATTTCAAAGTGTGTCTACTGGAGCCTTTAGTCTGTTTAGTGAATCAGACACTCTTCTGTCTTGTCTCACAGCCTGGCTGGCTGGCTGGTTGCAGAGAGGCCCCAGGAGGGACAACAGAAGGAAAGAAAACTCACACATACACACACACACACACACACACACACACACACACTTCCAAGTTTCAAACAGTTGCAGATGGCTTTAATTCCTTGCCCTCTTTCTTTCACAATTTATCAGGTAACCCACTCTTAGCGAGCGTGCCTCCTTTTCATGCTTTGCTGAGATGACTTAACGCCGCTTCGGTTTGTCAGAAGGAGGAACAAAAAAAAAAAAAAAAAAGTCGAACAGCACTAATTAATGTGGTGCGGCTGACAAGTGTTGCTGCTGAAACAATTTCATTACATCACCAATTTAAATTACCAAGGAGGGAGACACTGGAGGGTGCACCCATCCAAAAACCTATTTACACGCTCTCTAAGACCGACATACAGGGAGTGGACACAATAACAGGAACACCTGCAATCCAATGCAATACTCCTGCAATAAATACTGACTGTGTCCAACCTATAATGTTTCATTTTTTTGTCGAGGCTGTGTCGGATTTGTGAGGAAACAGAGCTTTAAGGTGCTAACTGATGACTGATTTACTGCAGGTGGTGATATCCACTTGTTATCTTACCTGCGTTATGATAACAGGATAGTAGCACAGTCAGTGAGATATGGTTTGTTATACATACCGCAAAGCTCTATGACAACTAATCTCAACTTCAGCACCTTACCAAGAAGGATGAAGTCTCTTTTTCACCCCCTCCCAAAGTTTAGCTGTCCTGTAGCAGGGTGCACAGTAATGAAAGAGCGGCAGTCTCCTCCTCCTCCTCCTTCTTCTTCTTCTCCACCTCCTCCCGTCAGGAGCCCCCTCTCTGCTGCGCTCTGCCCCGGCTGGCCTCACATCCAGATGGGAGGAATTTTTACGGGGAGGGTCCGCCAAACTTAAGGGCTGAGGGCTGCGCTGAGTCAAGCAGCTCTTCCACACTCCCCCTTTGCAGAAGGGCTTAAAAATGTGGTGCTGCTGCTCTCTATCAGAGATTCAGATAGCAACAAAATTCCTTGTGTGTGGACACATACTTGGCTATGAGAGCTGATGCTGATAGTTGCATGTTCGGGAAGCCATGTGTGTGTATTTGTGCTGAAATGCTGGAGGTTGCAGTGCATTTAAATAAACACCTTATTATTGTCTTGTATTCCTCAGCTCACTAGAGAGCCCACTTGAATCTCATTAAGGGCCCCTGAGGGTCCCAATGGCCCCACATTGGGAGCCACTGATCCCTGAGAGGATCCAATCAACACAGTCAGTGTTATCAGTGCAGGTCAAGGTGGTAAATGTTGCATTACATGGTGCTGTTTAACAGGAACACAACAGAGTAACATACGGACATGCCTGCTAATTGCATTACAACAGGTAGCCGATAATAGCCTTGAAGGGAGTCAACAAGCCCAGTCACACTACTGACTGCTAGCTAAGTGACATACATTCTCAGTTTAGCATCAACCGAGCCATCAGCTGATCCACCGAGACGAGACATCCATCCCCTCCACACACACACATACATACATACACACACAAACAGACCCGAGTTACCAGCACATTCCTATCCAGTGTCTTCACCAAATGCATGCACCTATCATGAAATAATCCTGCAGACACACTGGCTGTACCGCTCCAGCGCAACTCGTCCACACCAGGCAGGAACATGCGATACAAGCCCGGGTATTACGCCGCGTAAAAGGCGCTCCGCTGCCGCTCCCGCAGCCACAACCTGCCCCCTCTGACACGAGTTCATCCGCGGCTGTTAAAGGTTTCTAGGAGGTCACCCTATTGTTAGCAGGTAGTGTGTGTCCAGCGGGAGGCAAACCCCATCTTGAGCAACCCCGCACACACGTTCAAAAACCTCGCTTTGCAACATAGAAATAACCAGGCGCGAAACTTACTTTGCGCTCGGACCTCTGCGGCGGATCCGCGTATTGTTTCTCCAAACCTCGTGTTTACGGTGCTCCTCTGTCTCGCTGCCTCCACTTCACAAAGACGACGTGAGAGCCCCGGAGACGGTGTGAGTGACTGACTGAATCAACTACCGTAGAGCACGGCAAGTTGAAGTGTCAGATTACACTGGCTATTCAGTTACCAGAGAGAGCCGTGCTCGGCGGTCGGTGGGAAAACGCGACCTAGATTCCCGCGGAAGGACACCGGGTGTAGAGGTGTAAGCAGACGCTAATGGGCTGCTAACAGCACGTTTCACACTGGAGCGGACTGCAGCTCTGTGCTCCGGCTATTGTCTGCTCCTGGGTCATTACAGCTGCTCCACTAATGCCTGCTGTAATCAAAGCACAAATTATTAGTTCATTAATCTTTAGTGAGGCTTTTAGCTATTAGTTAAAATAAAGTTAAAGAAACAATCAAGTAAAATACGTTTAGAATACACATAAAAGGCCTGGTAATAGCACCATTATTAACATCAACAATGACATACATCAACAGTATTAGCCTATTAATAACACCTTTAATGCACTGATTATAATCAGGATTGTTATGAGTATTATAGGTCTGCAAGAAATGATCATTATCCTTATGTTAATGAATGAAAATAATGCTAATGATATAAGAAAATGGTGAAAGAGTCTAGGTCTAAGGTTTTGTACTAAAATGCTTCCAATTTTTTTTTAGCCAATTAATATAAAATCACAAAATCTTGCTGGAATGAAATAGTTTTCGTCATTTTTGTTTGAACTTTTTTTTTTAGAAAATTAAAAATGGATTA